GGTTGGGTGGGTGCCATGCTTGAGATTTGGGGGGTGGGGATGGGGTGGGGATGGGGAGCTTGAGGATTCCGCCTCCGGACAAGGGGAAGTTTAGCTTGAAAAGTCTGTTTAAAATGTTTTAAAGTGTCATCTGGTTTGAAAGGCAGCCTATGAGGGCTGTTTTTGTCCCAGCTGGGTACCCAACTTCCCATTTCTTTGCACAGTCACCCCTGTTGTCGTCTTCTGCCAGGATACACAATTGATCTTAGACCCTGGATTTTGCATCAATGTCCTTAACAGCATGTCTCGAGCGGCACGAACAATGATTACTTAATGCTCGTTGACGTTTTCGAATGCTCGGTTGATTCGCTGCAAACACACATCAAACAATCTAATAATCCTAATGCTAACTCAAGTATAATATCATTTCAAACAAATATCAGGTATAGGGGGAACACACTACATTATTCTTTCAGCATCACAGTCCCAATAAGCATTGCCTTCATCGGTGTACTAACGCCGGGTAGAGATGGAGAGAGCAGGAGGAGTTGATGTCTCCTTGGAGCCTAGCTCTCCGAAAAGTCAGTGTCTCCACCCGGGTTTACATAGGCGGTTCAGCTGGCTCCTTGATGTCATTCTGGAAATTCCACGGCGTCCAGCCAAGTCTTATCGGGGTCTCCCAGACTTTCTGGGGTGGCTCTTCAGACCCTATGTTGGCTTTTGGCAGTAGCTCAACATTTAAATTGGGCCTAAATATTATACTTTCTTTTCCAAAATGGTGTTTTTTTTTATGTTTAGATCTTGCAAGGTCGTTCAACATCTTGCAAGGTAGTTCTATAACACTCTTTGACCTAGAATAATCCTAGGGACACAACCAAAGGATAGACACCCAGTTGCTGCGTGAAAAGCCTGGGAATCACAAGAGAACTGTGGTAGTCGCCTAATCTGGTGTCAGTTTAAGGATTGAGTGTAGGGGTGGAGTCTAGGCTGCCAATCTGGAGATAGCCGATGAGACTTCTGTCGGAATGGCCTTCTCCTGAGGATTCTGGGAAATCTGGTACTTCGTCCTTGGAGGCAGGAAGACACCTCTCTCTCTCTCTCTCATTGCAGAAGACAAGCCACGTGGATGCAACCAGACCTCAGAAGCACTGAGATGTTTCCAGTGACACTGAATCCGAAGACTTTCTACCCAGTGGCCTGTGATCTTCTGCATTCGGCATCATTGCATGTGTTTCGCGAGTCTGAAGAGGACTTTATAGATTGATATCGGAAATATGGGCTAATATCGGACTAATGGATTTGGTCTGGACTGGGCTGGGATGTTTTCTCAATGATCAATTGCTCTTGTATATAAATCTCTTTCTTATACACATATGTGTGTGTATGAATTTGTTTCTCCAGTCCACCGAGACTAACACAAGAGCTAGATTCGGTTTTTGTGATGTAGATATCTTTCAAATTCTGGGGAGAAGGAAGGGCTTGAGTCTTGAAGAGAGGTCGGAAGGGATCCTGTGGAAGGAACAGTTGACTGGAGATAGTAGTTAAGGCATGTCCCAAAAGGGAGCAAAGCGAACCCCTTAGAAAAGGACAAGGCATTGAAGAACCAGCTGCCATGGCCTGGAGTCCACCCTGAGTCACAGCCATCCCGTAGGGTGGTGTAGACCTGCCCCTTGGGGTTTCAGAGACTGTCAGTCTTCATGAGAGTGCATAGCCTTGTCTTTTTCCTACCCAGTGGCTGGGGAGTGAGGCTGGGGTTTGAATCTCTGACCTGGCAGTTAGCAACCCCATGCTTTAACTCACTGTGCCTTAGAGGTTCTTGGAGTATGAGAATGATGCCCCAAATCTACCCAAAGGCGGTGTGCCCTGAGCCAGTTTCTCTTTCCTCTGGGTGGAAGTGGCCCATCCTGAATGGCTTCCAAATCTACACTTACTATGCAGTACCTAAGCTAGGTAGGGTCCTCGCTTAACAGTGTGTCCTTAAGCACCAGCAGGAGAAAAGACCCACCCCTTCGATCTGATCACTTTTGAAGCTGTATGGGCCCGGCCTGCTCAGTCAAATAGGGTTGCTCTAAGTTGGAATTCATGGACCCAACACAGCTGTGGCCACAGTGAGCTGGAAGGTGACACACATGAGACTGCTTCGGATTCCTGGTTTGCACAACAAGATTAACTCGCCACTAGCTACTTTTTATCTAGATGAGCCCCCAAGTTGGAAGATGCTCCCAATATGACCCGGAAAGGGCTGCTTCCTCAAAGTTGAGTTGCCATTAATGACAAAGTACAGTTTTCAAGAGCTTCATTTCATGACATGGCAGGACTCAAAATGGCTGGCAAAATCCTATTAAAAATCAGAATGTGGAATATACAAAGTGCAAGTCTATGAATATGGAAAGTCATCAACATAAATGAAAAAAATAAAAGTCTGCATCACAGGTTCCTGAGAAAGACTTATTGGTAGAAAGTAGAAAGGTGGGGAGGGGGTGGGGAGGAAGACCCTTGATGAGAGGGTTTGACACCGTGGCTATAACAATGGGCTCTCACGAAAGAGCGATTGTGAGGATGCTGCAGGACCAGATGGTGTCTTCCTTTCGTTGTACACAGGGTCACGATGACTCGGGGCCAACTGGACAGCATCCAACACCAACTCCTTTTCAGAAAAAATGGCTCTGTGTTCCCCGTCCCCGCCCTAGGAGGACGCTTATAGCCCGTAACCCAGGGTAAAGTGTAGGTTTTAGCTTTTGCATCTACCCCCTCACCCAACCATTCCAGTGGCCCATAAGAGGTGGTACTACCCATCTCGGGAAACACTGATCCTATGTATTTGTGAGCTGAATCAGACTGCCGTTGACCATTTTGAGTGGAACTATCATGTAGTCTGCTTTTCCAAGAATGACAAATTGAAGAGCAATGGTCTAACAGTCATCATGGGAAACAAAAAAACCACACATTTCAAAAATATTCATCATCAAAAAGGACATTTTCATGCTGAACATACTGCCAAACAGCTTCAAATATAAACCTAACAGCATACAGGAGAACAAACCAGGCATCTATAAATACACTCTAGGATTTTCTAGAATGCTGGAAAAGTGACGTCTGGCATGGGTAAAATGGCAATTTCAACTCCTTGCCAGACTGCCTCCTCATGTAAGAAAAAGCATCTTTCCTTTTAAGCCATTGTTTGCAAAGGGAAGCATGTTTCATGAACTGCCAAGCCCGTGATGCCACGTGACATCAACTCTCCTGGTCTTCTTATAAAAGCAGCTCATCCGATCTGGGCCCTGATAGCTTGACTTTTCTCAATTAGCATTATATTTTCTAGTTCCAACCACATATGGTATAACATGTTCTGAACACATTACAGCATTTTTTGGTTGATAGTATTCCATTGCATATACGTTCCACATTTTGCATATCCACTCATCTGCTGGACATTTTTGTTTCTTCCATTTTGTTTGTTTGTTTGTTTTTGCCATTGTGACTGAAGCTGCGATGAACATAGGGGTAGATATGTCTTTTTGTGTGATTCCTTTCCACCTCTGGGTATATACCTGAGTGAGATTGCTGCATCAGTAGTAGTTCTACTTTTAGTTTAGTTTTAGTATTATTATTATTGCTATACTGTTTTCCATAGTGGTTGTATCTTTTCACAGTCCCAGTAGCAATAGATAACAATTCATATCTCTCCACATTCTTGCCAAGAGTTATTGCTTAAAAAAAAATCAGTACCATTTTAACTAGAGTAAGATGATAGCTGAGAGTTTGGATGTACATCTCTCTAATGACTAGTGAAGGGTCCTGGCTGTGCTGTGGTTCTGGGTTGGTTGGCCAACCACAAGGTCAGTTGTCAAAGCCACCACTAGCGCAGTGAGGAAAAAACTGGACTTTCTACTTCAGAATTACCACCTTGGAAACCCACAGGGAATCGCTATGAGTCAGCATTAACTCAAAGGCAGGGAGTCTGGACTGGTTTTTTTTTTGTAGTGGCTAATTAAAGTGATCCACGTGGTTGGCAGTTCGAACCCACCAGCAGCACAGTGAGAAAAAAACCTGGGCTTTC